GGTGCTGCCGGCGGGCAGCGGGGCTGGGGGAAAGAAAACGCGTTATTCCTGCCGGTGCTGTGCCCGCTCCGGTATTCCGACCGTTTGTCGTTGCTTGTGGAGGCTTTGTTCTCTGGCCCCGTGCCCCGGGTAACCGCTCTGTCTCCGGGGCTTGGAGCTCCCGGGGTGGGGGGACACGTTTTTTCCATGGTGCTTGTAGGTATTCTCAAGGAGATGACCCAGCACGGTTATCAGAAGTGCGAAGGAATCCGTGTTTTAAAATTGTAATTATTCCGAGGGTTGTTATTACCTCATCAAAATCTACAGATTTCGAGAGGCGTGACATAAAAACAGTTGGAAGAAAACAGCACCCGTCCCTTTTGTAGTGGTCTTACCACCAGTAGCGCACGCCGACGTTCGAAAGGGTCGGTAGGACCCGAAACTCCGCTACTTGGAATCGCGAAGCTGCTCGGAAAGTTCTTTGTGTGCAACAATTGCTGCTGAAGCTGCGAGAGGAGAGCGCAAAATGCCTCTCCTAGAGCCCACTCTTTACCGTTTGAACGATTGCGCACGGGTGTATGGAAATGACTCGGTTGTGTTGAGTGGGCTTTTGCTTAAAGTTTTTCCATCCCCAAATAGCACGTTACACATGTTGAGGAAATTATAAATGCGCTGCATACGTTGCATGGCTGCACGTTAGCTAGATGGAGCGTGGCACGATTGCTGGTGCTTGCATGTAGGTGATAAAGGCGCGAGCAGAGAATACAAGCTGTCGGAGCTGTAAGGCAGAATGAATTTCTTTTAGGGATTTCCTGGTGACATCATTCATAATTATATGGCTTAATCCTCTAATCTACTGTAGTGCCTTCAGTTCACGTTGGGCCAAATCCACCGAGTCCCGAGATGATTTCTACTCCCGCCCACCTGACTGAATCATTTGGAGTTTTGCTTGTGTAAGCCACTGATCTGAGTGGAATGGCCCAATTACTTTAAATAGGAATTGAAAGCAGTATTGGTCAGAATCGGGCCCAACCTTTGCACAGTTCTCCAGTGAGAGCAGACGGGTTGATGGTTAATTTTGACTTCAGCAAGAAACGGTGTTTCCAGCTTCTTGTTCCGCTGAAGAGAGGTGGCATAAAATACTAGGTGCAAGCGCGGTTGATATGCCTGTGGTATCTTTCCGGTAGACTGTGAGAGACCACAGGGGAAAAGGAGACTTGGTTATCATACTGAAGCTGCTGATTTGTTGTTTATTAATTATTAACTAGGCTTTTGAGCGCCTGCTGCAGTTTGAAGAGCCAGCACAGGAAAACGACTAGGTATTTAAAGCAGCGTAGGCTCTTGCTAAATAGTTGCCGTGACATTAGAAATAGTCTCTGTTTCTGAAAGCATTTTAAAAGCTGGAAGGGGGCACACTGAAGTTGTCACACGAGATCCTTCACTGGCATAAATCGAAGCCTGCGGAGCTACAGTGATCTATACTTGTTGAGCCTTGGGTATTCAGGCTGGAATAAACAGCTTTAATAGAGCAGTGGAGCTACTGTGATTTATGGGAGTGCCTATACTTGCTAGATGTGGTTTCTGTCCTCACCCGGTTGATGTCTGTGGCAGAGCTTTCACTGACTTTAATGGGGTCAAGATTTGTCTTGCTGGACATAGTTTGTCCTTTCTGTTGAGCAAGTTTTAGTCCCTACTCGACCTCCCTTCATTTTAGGAGGATTTTGCCAATCTGAGTAGATTTAACTCCTTTCAAATGAGGAACAGCATACTCTGTCCTTGGCAGGGACAGCAGTCGTTGTCTTTCCTGGTAGGTAAGTTCACACAATTGATGGTGTGCTGCTTTTCTTCTGAGTGAAAATCTTAGGAGAAGTAATAAGTCCTTCTGTTTTTCTTCTAAAACAATCTTTGCTTTTATGTTTTTTTTTTGGTTTTTTTTTTTTTTCTTTCTCCCCAGGAAGGCTGCGCCCTGTATTTACATAGGTGTTTGGGTCTGGAGTTTGTAGGTTGCAGCCCTTGTGCTGCAAGAGTTGCTGTAGGTTGGGAATCAATAGGTCAATAAGTTCTCTCCTGTTGATCAGAGGCAGGTACGCTGAAGGAAAGCAGTCGCTGGCAAATATTGGCTAGAGCAGGATGGGTACATTTCTTCAGCAGCATCTTGACTATGTGCGACTGGTTTGGGACCAGAAGAGCTGGCTGGCTGTGTTTTTGATGCCGGTGTTTGTTCCAGAAGTGGAAGGTGTTCTTGGTCCGTCAGCGTGCACGGTGTCAGTTGTGGCCGTTCAGGGCCTGAGTGGCGGGGGGGGGGGGGGGGTGAACTAGTACTAAAAGCCTGATGATGTTGCTGATTATCTGGGAAGCACTTACCTTTGGAGAAGTTTTATCTGGGTTCATATTCTCTAATTTTAATTTTCCACAAAAAGGTGCTTATCCCCACGTCCTTATGACAGCACTGTGTATGTACTCACTCGGATATGTCGGCACTCTTGGAGCTTCGGTTCTGCCAGATGCCTCTAGATCTTAATTTTCCTTCTAGAGTAAGGTTGCTAGAGACCTCCTAAAGCTGCTGTCTTTTCAGTATTTTTTACTACTCTGCCTCTTGTGCAGCAGCAGAATCCTCTGCATTAGCACAGCACGTTATTCCAACAAGTTTTAATCCTTGAGTAACGGAAAGGAGAAAGTGCTGTGGTACAGATGATTTACGAGTAGAACACGTAACTTCTTGTTCGGTCTGTACACCTCAGTAATTTCTTAGAGCCTTTCAAAGACTCAAACTAGAATATTTGCTGCTTAACAGATCCAGAAGCACAGTCCTGGAATAACAAATGAGTCAATTTAGACCTGAACATGAAGTCCACTCGGTGGAAATCAATCTGGATGTGCTTTACAGGCAATGTCCTTGCTCCACGGAAGTCAGTGGGACTTTCACCATTGACTTCAGCTGTGTCAGGATTTCGTTCTTGGAGCCTGTTCCCGTTACTAACAAAGCCAGTGGAAAAATTTCGTTAGGAAGGTGCTTGGGTCCCACACGAGATATTTGACCCATGTCTCTGGCACAGATCTCATGCCAGACTTACTGCTGTGTTGAGAGAGACACTGCAGTCAGACTGGCCTCTTCCCATCCCTAGAAAAAGGAGGTACGTTTAAGGAACTTGGTGTGCCATAACCATCAAGTTGTCCTGAACCTTTGAACACAGCAACTTCAAACTGCTTGAGTGTGTGTCTTTTCTGTCAATCCCATCAGGTCCCTACGAGTTCAAGGAATGCCAAGTCTTTTCCTGGGCATAAGCCATTTCTAAAGTTTCAGTTTAGATTTATGCTTCTCCAGTAGGTGCTCCTGCAGACCAGAAGGTACTACTGCTGGTTTAGGTGAATGAATGTCTGCTATTTGTAGGTAGGCTTTGGCACGCTTCACAGGCACCGGCTGTGCTGAAATACGGAGGTGCGCTTCCGAAGCAGCACCAAACAGTTTTGGGAGTCAGTCAGGGCTCTTGAATTACACGATGGCATTCTTTGCCCTGCTACCGTATCTCCTCCAGGGTTATTTTGTCCAGTTGGGAAAACATTTAGACTATGAGCTGTGGGGCCCGATAGGTTAGTCGCAGCTAGGTATGAAATGTGAGAGGGATCTTCAGTCCTCACATCTCCCTGGAAATAGTGCGGCCAAAAGATGAATGCTGCAAATCTCTTTCATGTTTTTGCCTAGGTGGTTATGCTTTTGTTTGTTTATTGCTTTAGCCTTATGAAGCGACTGGATTAATGTATCAGTTTTAGAACATTTTAACTTGTGGGTAGTAAAATCTGTGGAAATAGTTTAATTGAAAGAATTGGAAAAGAATATCTTCTCTTTCCTGCCGCAGAGTTACTGTCTTATAAGTAATTACTGTACACAGCGCGGTGTGAGTGTGAAAGTACTAGAAATGCCTGTGCTAGATATTCTTCTCCATTCTTTTCATTACCTGATTTGAAATAAAAATTGATCTAACTCTCTCTCTCTCCCCTGCCCCCAACAGCTGTAGGATTTGGAATGGATCCTGACTTACAAATTGATATCATCACAGAACTCGATCTTGTGAATACAACCCTTGGGGTAACACAAGTGTCGGGACTACACAATGCCAGCAAAGCATTTTTGTTCCAAGGTAAGACAAACATCCTCAATTCTCTTATCTCAATTCTGTCTGTATGAGCTCATAAGAGCTTTTTTGGATGCCTCATTCCCTCTAATCGTGGTCTTACTTAACTGTTGCTTTCTTTTATTTTTATCTTTTGGAAATAGTCTTTGTTTTTTTCCTAAAAAAAAGGGGGTTTTTTTTTTTTTTTTTTTTTTTTTTTTTTTTACTGTGCTGTGAGGTAGTTGAGGTTAGAGATCTTTGGGGAAGTATTTTTGGGTAGGTTTTCAATATTCCCCAATATTTATTTCTAACTAAATATGTCAGAGCGGTTCCAAGGCACGGACTCGGTTGTACTCCTGTGTACTTTCTTTCTGTGATTGTACATGCAAAGACACACACAGCAGAAGCTCTGTAACTATGAGAAAGCATTTAATGTGTTGACACTGATTAGTAACATGTAGCAAGTCTCTCATCAACTTTGTGGAAACTGTTAAAGTGAGAAAATTAAACAGTATTATATTTAACTGTCCAAGCTGAGTACCAGGTGCAGGGTAAGTCACTTTGTGTTTTTTTTCATTCAATATTCTAAGATAATGCTTGTGAAGTGTTTTAGAATGGTGGTGGTGGTGTTTTGTTTTGTTTTTTATTTGTAGTGAGTGAAATTCTGGGTGAATTAATGAGTATTTGTGGTGAGTGAAATTGTGGATGAATTAACAAGTTTTACCATGGACTTAAGTAAGGTCCACAGATTAAGAGACAACGTCCCATGGTGTGGAAGCACTGAGTTGCTACAACACGCTTATTAGGCCAGAAAGACATTTATATCAGTTGAGATTAACATGCACATTGAAGCACAGTTGGGAACGTTTTTATTATGGAGACTTCCTATGTTTGTTTTTTCTTTACTGCGCTTTACTCTGTGTTGAAGTGTGCGTGTTAGAGTCTCACTTTTGGATATCTGCCCTCTGTAGCTGTTTTTAGAGGCAAACGATTATGATCTCCTTTAGCTTTAGTTCTGGATCTGCAGGGCTAACTGCCTTTATTGTAAGTCATACAAGAAGCGGGTCTATAATCTTAGTTCATCCTTTAGCTAGCCAAGGCCAGTTTAGGAGCCAGAGCAGAGAGACTTCTGGAGACCTTCTCAGAATTTGTTAGTCATATCTCCAATCTTGTGTGATACAAGTAGCTTAATTTTCACAGATTCCCAGATTAATGTCCAGAAGAAGAGCATTCATTTATTCATCGTCACAGTTTAAACCCAGCCAGCAACTAAGCACCACGCAGCCGCTTGCTTACTCCTCCCCACTCCTAGTGGGATGGGGAGGAGAATTGGGGGAAAAAAAAAGTAAAACTTGTGGGTTGAGATAAGAACGGTTTAATAACTAAAATAAAATGATGATTTCATTACAATTATTGTTTTTATATTTGTATAAATGAATATAAAAAAGAGAAATTAGACTCAAGAAAAGACGAGCGATGCACAACGCAATTGCTCACCACCTGCTGACCGATGCCCCAGCAGCGATCCGCCCCTCCCGGCCAACTCCCCCCAGTTTATACACTGGGCATGATGTCCTGTGGTATGGAATATCCCCTGGGCTCGTTCGGGTCAGCTGTCCTGGCCGTGCTCCCTCCCAGCTTCTTGTACACCTGCTTGCTGCCAGAGCATGGGACACTGAAAAATCCTTGACTTATGTTAAGTGCTACTTAGCAACAACTAAAACATTGGTGTGTTACCAACATCATTCTCGCACTAAATCCAAAACCACTGTGGCAGCTACTAGGAAGAAAATGAACTCCATCCCAGCTGAAGCCAGGACATTATTTTAAAGATGTCAATTGTTTTCTTCTGATATCGTGACTCTGGGTTTGTGTATTATGGAAACCATATTAAAGCACAGTCAGTCTCTAAGGTCAGCAATGGCCTAACTGACTTCTTAAAATATTTTAGTATTTCCAATTGCTATTCCATGCAGCTAATCGCAAGCGTGCTGACAAACTGTCATGGTGAGTTTTCACAGACTGGTGGTCAGAGCTGCAGGGAAGAAGACTGAGATGTGTTTTTCAGGACAGCGATTGAAACCATTGATACTGAAAGTAGCTTTGAAAGGCTAATGGTGAGGATTTATGGATATTCAGGTCTTTTTGCCTTGGAGGACCCCACCTGTAGTTTAGCAACTTAGAGAGGACTAGTGTAAAAAAGGTAGAGCTTATAAAATTCACATGCGTAGATAAATTGGAGGATAGATGTTCATGGGAAGCAATGAACAAAAATTCACTGTACAAAGTGAATAAACAATTCGAAGTCTGTAGTTAGGTGAATAAAGCTTTTTTTAATTTCCACAATGGAAATTGTTCTGGCTAACGCACACAGAAGTAGCCCTGTGCTTGGATATCGCCTCTAGTATAAAACTTCTTGGAAGATGGCTTGGGAAAATTATTCTCTTCAAGTTAGGCTCATGAGCCCTTGGGCTGGGAGAAGACTTGAAGACCTTTGGTCTTTTACTCCATCCTGAGAGAGGTCTGTCTGCGAGGGGTCTTTTGCTGCTGCTGGCAGACGGGATGGAGGTCCGAGGCCGCCCCGTTGGCTGCTTCCCTTCTCGTTTGTATCTGTTATTTGTTAAATGTCAGCAGTATGTCGGCAGCTGTACGAATTCGCTTTTATTAACAGAGGTGACTTTACAACTACCGTTTGGCTGTGTGCCAGGTCCTTTGGCTGGAACCAGGAGATACTTAATTTTGATTTTTATCTCTCCATACAGTAAAACCGATATAGAATGCAGGGCAACGTATGGGCAGCTGCTATGTCTAAGTTTTCCCACAGAGATTCGCAAAAATCCCCAGCCAACGTGACGCTCCCAGAGGAGAGAAAAGACTGGAAGTTAGTACTTGGTTTCAAAATTACTGTATCCTCTTGGACCAGCTATTCCAGTCACCAAGATGCGGTCCTTTCAGCAAAGCTTTGCTTTGATTAGTTCTTACCGTACGTGAATAGTTAATACATGCTGTGCTGCGCTGCTCCAGTGTTGTCTCTGGGGTTCTGGGCAGGGGAGGACCTGCTTCACCTGGCAGGCTGATTGCTGAACACGGAGCCACGTTAGAAGACGTCTTCACTCGTAGGCTTTCACTGCTGGGGATTTCCTAGTTTAGGAAGTGAGAAGAGTTTGTGAGCGTGTTCTCTGGCGTGCGTTTTTCATAGGGACAGTTTTGCCTGCCGCCTTTGGCGGTGTCCTTACAGCAATGTAACAGGGCTCTGGGCTTACGCAAAGGTTCCCCGTGGATCATTTTCTGTCTTGTAAGACGTATTTCCTAAAATGGCTTTACTAGAGCTGTTCAAAGTGAGAGTGTTCCTTTGTGTGTCACTGGAAGTCTACATCTTTGAGGTAGAGAAATGGTAATTTTTCCCCAACCCAGACAGTTCTGTGTAGAGCTGTAGTGAAAATATGGATATGTTCTCCTAAGCAAGATTCTTTTTCTGTGAATTAAACTCTTTGAAACGGAAAGCTTTGTAAGTTTGAGCATTTTTTCCATTGCATTTAGAGGCAAAAAGAAGAAATGAGGGAGGGGGGTGATGGGAAGACATGCACAAAAGAAAGAGAAACTATTATTTTTATTAGCTTTTTGATCAGTGATGTTAGCTCTCTTAGAGTAAGTGACATAGTGTTTGTTACAAAGTTTCTGGGGAGTGATGTCATGATTTGATTTTATCCCAGCCATAATTTAGAAAGACTCTTTTCCCTGGGCAGTTAGCGATTTCAGTCCAAGACAACCTCAGTGAAGTCAGTGGAGTATTCTGGTTTTATAATAATATTGGTAGTAACAGCTGAAACTCCGATTTCCGTGCGAAGCAGCTTTACAGGCAGAGAAACAAATTCACCTCTGTTGCAAATTGTGTGACAGCATGATAGAACCAAAGTGGCGATTGAGAGATGTGGGTTGCCTTTGGGGAAGCAAATGTGTTCTTAATTCAGAAAAGCACAGAAACCTATAATTAAGTGTAGTCACCTGAGTGGTCCTGTTGGGCATGGACTTTGATTATTAGAGTATTTCAGCTGGATTTTTGATTGATCAGCTCCGTTATTTGTGTGTTTCAGTTCCGTTCTCTGTGAAATGGGGATGAGGGAATCCAAAAAGCAGTGTAAGTGCTGACAGCGTGAATTAGATGAAATGTAGATACATAACTCGTAACTGCAGTTCTGCAAAGTCTGACTCTTAAGATCCCTAACATTATGGTGTCTTAATTATTTGTCTTTTATTTATATGAACAAGAGTGTGGAAAAAAGTCTCTTGCGTCCAGATGGGTTGTTCTAGCACACAGGGACTAAGGAGGGAGAGTGGAGATGCTTGACTAGAGTGCTCTTGGGGAGTGGGGCACCCAAGATCCTGGTGTCTGACCCCACATCTCCTCACCTCCAACCAGGAGTCCAAAGAATTCGAGGAAACAGTTCTGGGGGTGGGTGGGAAATCTACCTGGAACAAATGTATTGAAAATATTAATCGGCCACCTAATGCATTACAATAGCATCTTACAAACGTTGAGCGAAAGACATCTGTAAATAGTATCTTACAAATGTGACAGAATGATACTGAAATTTCTCGAACAGGATTGTAGTATAAATTTTAGCACATGAAGAAACGCTGAGCCATGGCTCACTTAGTGGGGCTCAGTCCTCTTCTATGTTTCAGACGGCAGGGAAGCAGGTCTTGTTTTGACCCTGTAGGTGGAAACCTCAGCAGGATATTGAGTTCAGTGGCAGAGAAAGGCTCTTGTTATAAATAAGGCAATAGAAGGCGCTTAACTGGTCGTCCTGTTTCTGGGTAGACTGAGCCCAATTTTTAGCCTAGCTGTTACATGATGTGATTACTTTAACCAGTCTGACTTCTGTTCTGTGCTCAGTTCTCGTTGGGGAAGTAAAATTTTATTCCTTTTACAACCTGTCAGCTATGCCCATTTCTTTTTAATTCTTCTTCTCTCAACATCTCCTTTGGGCTAACAGAGGCTTAAAGCCTTTACATATAAAGCAGTT